GCACACTTCATGCATAATCCTTGTATGGGCTCCCTTCTGGGAAATGTGAGTCCGGAAGCCAGCAGACTACCCAGTGATCAACAAGTGTTCTGGAGCCTGCAACTTTCACAGGTTGGTGGTCTTCGAACTCCCTGTGGCCAAATAGAGAATTTCCCTCACCCTAGTGGAACACATTCCCCATGATTTTTATCATGAGATCAGTCGGGTGTCTTCTTGTATAGCATAGACTGTGGCAATGTAGCAATTGTTGCTTCTTTTCTCCTTTGCCCTACCTCAGACCCTCTAGGCCAAGTGTCTGGGAATTAAACGCTGAAATGACTACATCCTTTTTCCTTCTCTGGGTACTGTTGGGAGATATGAGGTACCAACTTTAATGAGATAAGACAATCATATATAATTGGATTGTTCTTAAGCCAATTAAGAGTACACGTGTAAGGATAATTAAAATGGAATTAAACATCCTTTGTGGCAAGAAATTTAGTTCATCTTCTCTGTCTTTGTTCCAAACTCATAAAACATATTTTTGCTTAGGTGGACATCTTTGAAATAGTTCTTCTTTTGACTTTGTCGTAAAAGACTATGTGCCTCTCTGAAGCGTCTTTATTCTGATATTCTTAAACATTTCGAACCATACTAAATAATAGCAGTGTAAGTTCCTATTTCTCACATTGCTCATAACATGTTTCAGAAGTAGAAAATAAAAAGTTTTACATTTTTCTCAGTTTTCTAACGTTTCCTCCAATCAGAGTCACTCTCAATAAATGACCTCAACTCTGTTACATGAGAATATTTATGCCATTTAATAAGAATTAAGCAAAATTTTTTTCATATATATGTATTTTTTAACATTTTTGCCTCTAGGTTTGGCCTTTGCCTCTACTTCTGAGAAGAGAAGCTTCTTCCTAATTCTGGTGTAAGGTTTTTATTGTGAAATATTTCAAACATATAGAAAAATACACATGCTAGTAGAACAGACACCTGCGTACCCGACATCTCAACTCAACAAATATTAGATTTTTTGAATAGAAACAACTTGTAAAATTTTATGTATTTGTGAGATTGGCTGGTACAGTCTCTCTCATATTGTCCTGCTTCTCTTTCTTTTGTAATAAATGTTATGTTATTTTTATAAAGTCAGTTGAAGAGGTTTTTTTCTTTTTTTCTGAAATATGTATGTAATGAAATAGGGAGTTCCAGAGTCAAGAAAGTAAGTCTCCCTCCCCACATACAATTTATCTTTAGAGCCGTTTATAATTTGTATAATTTGTGCTTTGTGTATTTGTGGGAAAGAGGGCACAAATTCAGTTTTTAAAAAGTTTTTACACATTTATCTTTCTCTTTTCAGGTTAAATTTGGAAATGTATAAAACTTAAAATAATTTGTCTTCAATGACATTGCAAAGAGTCATAATAATATGCTTTTTAAAATCTACTTTTAATTATAATTACATCTACCTTTAAATATGTACTCCATCAAGTATTGTGTCCTTACCTTTCATTCCTCTTCACATTTGTTTATACCATCTCAGGCCAGAGATGTCTTTTAAGAGCTTAATAAAAAATATTTTTTATTGTTGATGGTTTTCATTATTGTTTTCTGTTTAATGAATGTCTGCTTTTTTCTTTTCATCTTTCCTTCTTTCTAATTATTCTTTAGTTCATTCATTAACTTCATTATTTTTACATGTAAACTTTTAATTTTCAGTTTTTTTCTACCCTCTAATATATGCAATTTACCTTTAAAATCAGTTGAGTGGCATTTTAAAAAATTTGGTACCATTAAAAATTCAAATACTTTATAATTTCTGTTACAGTTTTTTTTTCTGTAATGTGTAAAGTACATACAAGTGTGCTTTTGCATGTCTAAACATATAATGGACGTGTGGGGTATTAGATAATTGATACCTTTGTAATATAGTACTGTATTTAATTTCTTTTGGGGCAGAAAGATGAGGCTTTAGATTATTCTTCAGTATCTGTTGAGACTCACTGGACAGTTGTATTATGTTTTGTCTTCTTGTTGTTTTTGAATCCTGGGGAAAAAACTCCTTTCTCTAATGGCTCAGTACAATGCCCTGTGTTAAATTTGTTGGTTCAAGATTGATTATTGAGTTGCAAAAGTCCTCTGTAACCTTAAGACAATTTTTTTTTTGATCCAATCTATCAGGTTTTGGTTATATATGTTAAGACTTTCTGGTAACATTATGTGATGTTAATTTCTTTGTTATTACCTGAGTTTGACATTTTGAGGCTGTGCTATTTAAATAAATGTAGGTTCAAGGTCACTATATATTTGCAGTAGATTAATCCTTATACACTTAGGGAATGATCTTTCTCATCCCTAATAATAGATTTTTTTTTACCTTTGTTTATCTGGTCTGATGTTAGTATTGCAGTTGGCTTTTTTGTGTTTTGAATTTCTAATTAGTAGTTTTTAGTTTATTGTTCATTTTCTAATTATTATTCTTTCCATATAATTTTTATTTTAAGTGTATTTCTTCTAAGCAGCAAGTAAATGGATGTTATTTTTAAAATCTAATGTGAAAATCCAGCTACCTTTATTGTGATTGTTTTGTGCTTAATTTTATTTAATTTTTTTCCTCCTTTTCTGCCTTCCATTTGATTGAGTTTTTCCATCTATCCATTTATTTGGAAATTATAATTCTTTTTTTTTCTTCCAATAGCTATATACAGTTTTAACAAAATAAAGAACTAGTTCATATGGCTGTTCCCAAAGCATATCAGAGTTTTATAGTGCTCTGATTTCAATTACATCTTACCATGTTGCATATAGTTGTTGTGAAGTATTTTATTTCCACTTTGTTTCATTCCTCCATAAGTCATTAGTATTATTTTTTACAATGAATGTTTGTTTGGATTTACTCATGTCTATTATTAGTCTCTTTGCTTATCCTTGCCTCTGCAACCATTGCATTTCTTCTTTGATAAAATTTCTTTATTTGTTAAGAACATACACTAGTGATTATTTTAGCAAGATTCTCTAAGGGATAGAGTTTCGGTTTAGGATACCAAAAACATTCTTATAATTGCCATCATTGTCATTTTTTAGAGACATAGTTATAAATGAAATTCTAAATTGACACAATTTCTCTTGCCCTTTTGAAGAGATTTAACTGTCTTCTTTATTGATTTATTGATAATATTTCTGTTCATCTCATTGTAATTTCTTGGAGATAATCAAGTTTTTGTTAAAAATGGTTTTAAGATATTCCTTTTATTATTGATGTTTGGAGATTTCAACACTAGATGGAGGAATGGGTATTTATCTCTCTTGAGATTTGGTATGTAGCTTTTATTTAAGAACTTTAATCATTATTTCAATTCTGAAAAATATTTAGCTATTCAAATATTGCCTCTCTGCAATCTATTTTTTTAAAATTCAGAACCTTCTATAAATACGCATTTTGACTTATTACATTCTTTGTATTTCTTCCCTATCACATTTTGACTCATCATTTTTACACTACCCTCTAATTATTTCCTTAAGTTTGTATCTTACTCAATAATTTTTTTCTCCACTGAAACATTTTTAAATGTCTTAATTAAATTTGTATTTCTAGAAGTATTATTTGGTTCTCTTTAAAGGTTGACTTTTTTATTACAGTATCCTATTTTTTCATAATTAAAAAAATTCACTCTTTTATCTTTAGTTATTTAAAACAAGGATTGGCAAACTGTTTCCGTCAAGGGCCAGTGAGTAAATGCTGTAGGCTTTACAGGCCAGGTGATTTCTGTAACAACTCTTCAGCTCCACATTGTAGTGCAAAAGCAGACATGCACAATATATAAACAATTGGACACGATGTTGTTCTAGTAAAACTTTATTTGGTAAAACAAGCGTTGGACCAGATAGAAATCATGAGCCATAACTTTTCTGACCTCTGATTTAAAACAGACTCTTTATAATCACATTCAAGTAGTTATCGTAGCTCAAGTAATGGAATGATAATTCTTCTGTCTGTGTTTGATGCCTCAGTTGATTGTCCCTTATAGTATGTTATTTTCTTGTGTGTCATGATTTTGAGATGTGAACTCTACATTCAGCTTTCTGTTGGAGGTCAGTGTGCCTTCAGTTGTGGAATTATCCTGCAGAGCATATTTGCATTTCAGACGTAGTGGCTAATTTATTTTTATTTTTTATTTTTTGAGAGTTTCACTCTGTCATTGAGGTTGAGTGCAGTGGCACAATCATGGCTCACTGCACTCCTACCTCATGGGCTTAAGCGATCCTCCCACCTCAGATTCTGGGGTAGCTGGGAACACAGGTGCATGCCGCTACACCTAGCTAATTTTTTAAAAATATTTTTTGTGGAGATGTGGTCTCACCATTTTGCCCAAACAGGCCTTAAACTCCTGAGCTCAAGCAAGACTTCTGCCTCAGCCTCCCAAAGTGATGGGATTATAAGCTTGAACCACTGTGCCCAACCTAATTTTTTTTTTTTTAAATGCTTTTTAAATTATCACCCGCGGAAATGCCTTAAATAGGAACCTTCTGAAATAATCCAGTGCTTAGTGCATTGCCTGACACATGAGGAACACACAGCTATTTTTGCTATAATTATCCCTATTAAAATTAACAGTACTGTTGTTTCTGTTATCACTAATCCTAGGTCTTATAGAACTTACATGAATGGTAGTTGTTACTGTTGATGCATTTGGAGTTTTTGAAAACTCTGATTAACTGGAAACTCACAACTAATTTTTTTTTATTGGAACCTGGTGCTACTTTGAGCTAAAAATATAGAAGATACTGAGTGAAGTATACATTATGAAAACTAAAGATAACTGAAGCCAGACAGAAACATAATGGAAGAAGCTTTGGGAATTTCTCTTCTGAAATACCATTTGTAAAAGGGATAGAAAAAAACATATAATTGAATATACATGTTCACTAGATATACATGGCTGTGTTTGTGTGTACGTACATACACATTTCCCTCTACCTGTAGTAAATTCATGCCTCTTGCTTGTTCGTCACAGGGCACTTGAAATGGACCAAAGCTGAGGACATTGACATAGAAACCCCAGGATCTATTCTTGTCAACACTAACTTGAGGGCATTAATAAATAAACATACGTTTGCTTCTTTACCTCAGCATTTTCAACAATACCTCCTGCTTTTGCTCCCAGAAGTGGATAGGCAGGTAAGTAGAAGTTTTAGACATTTGATATCAGCCACTAGTTACATTATGATGAAGAGGCAGGGCTGTTATCAAAGATGACTTATATACAGATACAGTATATTTCTGTAATTTATGTGTATCTATTTATTGCTGTCATTAGCTTATTTAATCTGCTAAAACAGAACCATTTTTATTCTTAATAGTGAGCCAATTCACATTTTAAAATACGGTACATTGTGGTAGAGTGAAAACTATAAACTTACATTGGAAAGGGAAAACAAAGAAATCAAGCATTCCATTATCAAATAAATCTTTAGAGTAGCTGCTCCTTTGCCCAGAGGGAATATTGAAATGCAGCAATAAAAAGCCAGGGTTTCTAAGAAATTATGTAAATGTTTTCATCCTCAACTATTTCCAAAAGGCATTTAAAATTTATGTTTGCAATTGCTCTCTGAGAGTCTTATCAGTATGAATATGATTGCCTATAAATAATCACCTTTTCCCATTTTTAAAATATATCTGGAAATGCTTTAAGTGTATTTTTATATTTTTGAAAAGCTTCTAAAATAAGGAAATACAAATATAGATGCATAATAGCAGGCATCAATCATCTTTTAAGGCTGTTTGCTTAGGAAGGAAAAGGAAAAAAATTTCATCACATAAACTTTTATTAAATTTCACAAAATTTATTAACTGCTGTCTATGAAACATTCCCTTATAATTCTTATTTCAGTAAATTCTGAAACTGTGTATCATTTTCAATTGATGGACTTAATGCATGTATATTTATGAATTTGTGTCTTGAGATGATAGGTACATCCATGAACTGAAGTGGACAAAATTCATTCAATATTTCCATATTACTTTGAATAAGTTTTCTTAGCTTTTTATTTGATTCTGTTTTCTACTGACTTACCCATCTTCTTTCATACATATTTAAATACGATAAGCAACATATGTGTATCTCTTTGGTGGTGATTATTGTTCATATTTGGAAAGAGATTATTTTGATTTTGGGTACATTTTCATTTCAATAGGAGATTTTTCTCTTTCAACAACATTTACTTAATATCTACCCTGAATATGATATGTTCTGGGTGCTTTGGAGTAATAGCAAGACAGTAAATGCTTATTGAATGAGTGATTAAATGCACTGTAGTTGGATACATAAACTGTGTTTGTAAATAACCAAAATATGAGTTAGAAACAGGTAAGCTTGAGGGGAAAAGTACAAAGTATATTGCACTTTTATATGCAGAAGGGAAATATCAGAGTCAAATTTAAAATTCTTGAATTGGGCCTTGAGATACAGAGGTAGAATTTGAATTAAATGAATGGAAAAGTGCCAAGTGAGAGTCCAAGGGTACAAAATCAAAAGCTAATTTGGTGGAAGTCTGGATTGTAGGAAGAATGGTGCAAGTGATTTTGGAAGGACAGATTGGAAGTTGACTTTGGAATATTGCTTGAATATGAAGCTGAGGAGTCTGAATGGTGTTCTCCCTGCATCTGTAATACAAAGCCATTGAGGGATTTTGAATGGAGCTATGATGTAATAAGACCATTACTTTTTAAGGAAATTATTCTAACAGTACTGAAAGAGAATGACAGGCATGGGAAACATGAAAGTAGAATAGTTTTAAAGGAATTTTAGTTGTTCCCAAAAGGTATAATGAGGGCTTGATTTTGGAGGATTGAGTTGAAATTAAAGAGGAGGAGAAAAATGCAGCTGTCATCATCCTTATCCTCATTCTCCTTCACCACCTCGTCCTCCAGTAGTAACAATTTTACATTTTGTCAAATAACACTTGAAGCAGGTATAGGAAGGAGCCACTGATGACTCTTCAGTTACAAGCTTGTGTGACTTAGAATTTAGGGGTTAGAAACTTTTGGGGGAGAGATCTGATTTATTGCTTATACAACAACTTCCTCCACTTCAACACAGGTGTAGTTTACAAATCTGTCTCCAGCTTCAGAAATAAGGTTTGGCATCTACAGCTGTGTTAGTCCATTTGCATTGTTATAAGAATGCCTGAGGCTGGGTAATTTATAAAGAAAAAAGATTTATTTGGCTCATGGTTTTGCAGGCTATACACAAAGCATACTGTTGGCATCTGCTTCTGATGAGGACCTCAGGAAGCTTGTTCTGGTGGTGGAAGGTGAAGTCATGTCATATGGCAGGGGAGGGAGCAAGAGAGAGAGGAAGGAAGTGCCAGACTCTTGTAAACAACCAGATCTCTCTTGAATTCACAGAGGGAGAACTAACTCACTGCTATGAGGACAGCACCAAGACATTCATGAGAGATGTGCCCCCAGGAGCCAAACACCTCCCACTAGGCCCACCCCCAGTATTGGAGGTCACATTTCAACATGAGGCTTGGAGGGGACACAACCCCCAAAACATACCAACAGTGTACTCAATACATACTTTTGTAATGACGAAAGAATGGATTGTCCTAGTTTTAGTAAAATATTGGTGGCCAGAGTCTAAGCCTAATATTTTCTTCAACCTCTAGCAGTTTGTGTTACTCAGTTTTTTCTAGTCGCTGTGAGAAATATAATTGAATAAGGCACGGTGCTCGTCCTTGAATAACACTTAGTCCATTGAGAAACTTATTTTATTCAAAAAATATTTACTGAGCATATATTGTGTGCTGTATGCAGGAATGGATCTTGTGGAGGATACAAGAATAAATCTTGTGGAAGAATAACAGAAGGGAGGAAAACAACTTCATATGGATATGTAATACTCTGTTCACTACTAGAAAAGAAGTTTAATAAATGGATAAGTGTTTTACCAAGTTTAGTATAAAACCAGTTAGAATCTCATAAATGTCATAATAGAAGTATAAAGAAAGTCTTTTGAAGATGTAGAGGATGAAGAAGTTTAATCTGAATGTAGTACTGGAGAAGACTTTTATAGTAGAGAGGATGCTTAAGTTGAACCTTAAAGGACTGGTAGGTGTTTCTTAAGTAGAGCCAAAGAAAAGTGAATTTTACAAAGGAAAGGCCTGCTATTTACAAAGACATATTGCTTGTGTGTTCCAGAAGATTTAGTATCTCCGTATGACTGGAGCCACCTAAAGGAGAAAATGGGGGGCTATTCTGCTGAAGGGGAATATGGTCTACAACCTTGATGGCCTGATTGTAGGCTAAACTCTTTGAACTTTTTCTGACACCAGTAGGTACCATCAAAAACTTGTCAAATGGGAAATGACATGCAAGAAATAGTTTAAACATGTATTCTCATGCCTGGGCATAGGAGAAGGGAAGAGAATCCAAAGGATACATAAAATGCAGTCCTTATTTTCTTTTTTGGGAGCAAGTATCTCTGTGAATGATGGGTTGGACAGCAAAAAGATAAGACACAGACAGGCTGGTTAGGAGACAGTTGCAGTAGTTGAGGTATGAGATAAATGTTTGACCTTGGTATTGGAGTTGGAAATGGAAGGAATGAATTCCAGACATATTTTCTACCAGGATGAATAGGAATAAATGACAGCTATAAAATGGGATTGTTAAAGATCTAGAAGGCAACTAGAGATTTTTTCTAGAGTGACTTAAGAAAGAGAAGCTCTGTGGGCCTGTCAGCATTTTATAGCAAGAAATTTAGAGCTAGTATGCTCTTTCTGTCAAAGGTGGACTCAACCTTCTTTTCTAGCAGAAAGGGATAGGTGACTTGGTGCAACAAACTAGCAAAACTGCTGCTGTTTTCGTCTAGCTTATTGCAAATGTCCAAATGAAGATGAACACCATTATTTCATGGCCATAATGAGTGGAGATGGCATGGAAATGGGAATTTGATTACATAGATTTATTAGAGCCAGTGGAAGGTCCTACAATTATATGAAATACCTAAAATTTCAATTATGTCTTCACATAGTTTACAAAATCTGAAACTCTTCGCTTTCTTGTTTTCCTCCTTTGACTACCCCAAGTTTCTCCTGTTTTCTAGTATGAAGTAGTCCTAAAAGGACCTCCTACTCTGGACCCATGTGAAACGGGTTCATTCCAGTATTACATCCTCAAAATATGGGAACTGAGTTTCACATTTATCTTGACAATGCCGGCTGTTAAGGCAGTCTTTCTGAGTGTTTTGTTTTCCTATATTTGTACTTCTCATTCTGTTTTTTAAAGTTCTGTTTATCTTAGATTATATTTTAAATTTACCCCAGTTTTATCACATTGCTGTATCTAGTTTTATACTTAAGTTTATTCTTCATACATTATACTGCAAGTAAAAGAAAGTCCAACTCAAAGATTTTTAAGTCATAAAAGGACATTTGTTGGCTCAGTTAATTAGAAGATGGAAGTTTGAGTGGGCTTCTTGTTGTTGGTCCTAGGTCTCAGTTATTATTGAAGGTCCATTTAATTATTTAAATAAATACTTCCTAAAATCTTCTGCCTTGCTGATATTTTCTAAACCCAAATCTCTTTGTGTAGGATGGCTACCTGAATCAAGATGTGAGCACTTGCCTCAGTGCATGGGGAGAATGCTAGTATTTCAAGCAAAAGACCTAAGATTCACACTATTGGTACCATTTAGATCACATGATCATTTCTTAAACAATGACTGTAGCCAAGGGAATGGAATATACAAATTGGCCTAAACCAAATATGCCTGTCCTTGGAGCTTAGAGAGTATGTTCATCATCTCCTGAAGTAAAATGGTGCACTTATGGTAGAGGTCAGAGATACTGTAAAAATCTGTTTTTTACAAGTTTTACCAGGGGATATGCTTGGTAGGCAATTAACAGCACCTGTTGAAGAGGAGTCGAAATTAAGTTTTATTTTTGACATGTTGGATTGAAATGCTTCCACTATTTGAAATGTCCAGAAAGTCATTATGTATGTAGGTTTTAAGACAGTAGAAGATGGAGTTAATGATAATATATTCATAGATTATTGTGTCTGCTATGGGATTTGATGAGATTGGGAGATAGCATAGTCATCACAGAGAATTACATGTATTTGTGGAGAGTGTGGATAAGAACGAGGATGGGAAAGAGCCAGAGAATAGATAG